TGTAAGGTTTGCTACTGGGGAGCGTCAGCGCACTGTAAGGTTTGCTACTGGGGAGCGTCAGCGCACTGTAAGGTTTGCTACTGGGGAGCGTCAGCTCACCTGACCCCGTCGCCCTCTGGGTCTTGAGCCTTGGCGACGGTCAGCACTGTGCCGGCCACGACGGACTCGGGTACCTCCAGGCGGATGGGGCTCTCGACGAAGCGCGGAGCCTCGTTCTCGTTGAGCACGGTGACGGTCACCGTGCTGCTGCTGACAGGCAGCCTGGGGGCTTTGTGGCTGAGCGGGGCCTCATTTTGGGCCGTCAGAACCAGACGGTGCTGCTTGGTTACCTCGTAATCCAGCGGCTGGGTGTAGAGCAGAGGAGAGACAGTGGGCGTCCTGAGAAACGCTGCTCAGAATCAGACATGGTGCCAGTGTCAATCCATTCATCCATCCTCCAGCTGCTAAACCTGGTCAGGGTCTTTGAGGGGCCTAGTGCCCATCTCAGGCAGCAGAGGGCACAAGGCTGGGGTTCATGTCCGTTTATGTCCCTTGAGATGGACATGTGACAATGTGAAATAGAAAATATTACATGTAATATGAGTTTAGGAATAATTTTGAGCAATATCATGGAGGGTTTCTATTGGATGTCATAAAGGGTTTTCTTTGTTTCGCTCTTGGTCTTTGGCGAAATGGGCTCAGGAGCACAAACGGAGTCTGCTACTGAGGTATGTTTTCCGAGAGGAACAGGATATATCATCAGATCATTCACTCTCACTCTGCTTTTAAGGCTCGTTCGTTAGACATTTGTAATGACGTCGGCACGTGGTTCAAAAGCGATGCAAGTGGCTACAAATACAGAAAATTAATTTACCTGAGGAGGAAACGACTCACGTAAAAGTCAACACACGAATCTTCCTATTTCAGTGATTGGCTTACCTTCACCACGTACAATACACCCTCATTGGTTTCAGGGTCCGTGTGGACGGCAAAGTGACCAGAAGGGTCCCCTTTGATGATGGAGTACACGGTCTTCCAGTTGGCCGTGCCCGGCTCGTCGTTGTCCTTGGTGTGGACTCTGCCTATCTCATACGTGCCTCTGTTCTCTGGGGCTGTCATGGCATACTGTGGAATACAGAAAGGGAGATTTACCTCTTCGCTGCTTTGAACTGGTCCAAAAGCATCAGCAGGAGCTGCCCTAATGGATTTGTTTACTTAAAAACAAGACATAAAACACACTTTGTATCAAAAGCATAACAAAGAAACTTCACACTGAAGTCGCAATTACCAAAGTGGTCTTTTCATGTTTGCTTTCGTCCAGCTGTAACCTTTTGATGTTAAATAATAGTAAATTAAACACAAACACCTCATTGAGGATTTGATAGCTGCAATTATACCCATGAATCCTGATGAAGTGTAAGGCTAGGAGTGAATGATAGTGTGCCATTGTTTAGGAGGAAATGCTTACATGGTTCTTAGATCTGAAAACGTTATACTGCCATCATAAACACAATACCTGGTCCACTGGGAACTGGGGGGCATTGTTGTTGATGTCGGTGATGTATATGGTAGCATAAGCGAAATCCGACAGCCCCTCTCCAGACATGTCGGAGACCTGGAGCTTCAGCTTGAAGAACTTCACAACCTGCAGCACAGAAGGTGGACAGCACCAACGTACCATGAAGCTGGGGTGTGGAAGGACGACGCCAAAGCACTGCAACACCATTATATGACATTTACTTAGCCAATGTTCTGGTCCAAAGCAACGTAGCAGTGAGGCCAGAACACCAAGTCAGTGATATGATTACTCTGTCGGTCACAGCTTTCGAACCCACAACCTTCCAGACATGGGCACAGATCTGTGACCCAATGAGCCACATACACAGTGTTTAAAGAGAGAAAAAGTATGAATCTACAGATGTGCCACATTGCACCATTGCAGTACAGTCTTACACTCCTGGTGACCCATAGAGACGCACACTCACCGCCAGATCCAGGCCCACGTCCCTGATGTATACTGTCCCCGTCACGTTGTTGATGCCAAACATGGTTTTGTTGACGCTGAAAGGTGGGAAACACTCCTGCATGATGATGGAGTACCTCAGGATTGCGTTCTCCGTTTCGGGGTCGTCGGCGTCCGTCGCCGACACGTTGATGACTGCGGTTCCTGTCCAGATCACATCGACATGCTGTCAGTCACAGTCCGACTCATGCACGTGACTGCAGACTTGGTGTTTGACCTGACACAAGGACACTTGACAGGTTGTGCCGTAGCCACTTCTGTGACAGTGTGCCAGAATATCCATGACTGACGGGGTTTCTCAGCCGCCATGCGCCTCACCTGGCAAAGAGAACTCAGGCACGTAGCCGACAAACTCAGACTGTGTGAAGTTCGGTTTGTTGTCGTTCTGATCCATCACGATGATCTCTATGGTGGACGGGTTCTCTACCCGCTCCCCGCTGGGCGACAGGGCAAAGGCTTTAAGCTAGAAGAACACAGAATTCCGGAAAATTCACACTTACTGAAAACTGATAATCAGAGATAAATCCATATTCATATTTATTTTTACATATCTATTTCATATCTATATTTATTCTACTCAAGTATTCTACCCCAGTCCAATGTCCTGCTATTAGTTTTTCTCAATTGATTTAGAGCATTCCTCGAATGACAATTAACATTTGCATAACGACGAGTGTAATCCCCACACCCTAATGTCGCTTCTGCACAGCAGAACATCATTTCTCATTGCTTCACACAAATTTCCAAACGTTTTAATACATATATGCAAATAGTCTCGTACGATTGTCATTAGTTGACATAATTTTCAGATGCTTTAGTCTTGTCGGTCAAAAAGGATCTACAGTTTTGCCATTGTAATAGTTTTACACCCAAAACCACATCGTGTTAGCCACCCCATGCATTAACCAAGCCTTCAAAATGATTAAAAAACATATTCCATAAATTGCAGTGATATGATATTGCTTGATATTTTTGGTTCCCACAGTACGTGATTTTGTTGCCATTTTGCTGTGTTGTGTTATAGTGCTGTGTGACTTGTTTTTGTTTGCTATTGTGCTGTGTCCTGATATCTGAAGACGTTACATGTGCATGTGAGTGCTTTCTCTAGCCGGTCAGCTTTACATACTGTAATCCAGAGCCGCGCAATGTTGAAACTGCTGTCTTTGACATGAATAAGTATCAGTTTGCTAATGAAAAATGATCAGTCAGTGACAATGACAAAGTGGGAATAGACTATCATTTAGAATTGTGGAGCTCAGGAGCAGACTTACACTGACAATATATCTAAGCATTTTGACTCTCGTGGTTAAAACGATGCTGATTGTTCTTTTCATTTTGGTGGCACTGACTTATTCATTGGTGGAACTATTTGCATTTGAGACATGAGTTAATTGTTTTGGGTAAGTTGCAGGCTTTTGTGGCTAAATCATAGTGTTGTGCTATATGCATTTTTGCTATATGCTATATATATGTTTTGAGAGATGCGCTTATAGTCTTGAGAACGTTAAGCACGTTTCATGAAATGCGTCAAAGCAATCGAGAGAAACTGTAGTACAAATAATAAATCTTTCGATTTTTTTTTTTATCTTGAATCTTCTTAATCATAGATAGACAGATAGATAGATAGACAGATAGATAGATAGACACCCACATTGAAACGGCTGTACTTCTCTCTGTCCAGCTGTTTCTTACTCCTGATCCATCCCGTAGTATCTTCGATTTCAAAGAAGTCTTTGGGATCCTGATCCACCCCCGGACCTTCCAGCTTGTATATGACCTTGCCGGTGTAAACCTTGTCTGATTTGATCTGAGTAAAGGGCATAAGAACAGACAGACATTTTTATTAGTCTGCAACAGCGAAGACGCCCAGAAAGAGTAACACAACAATTTGATTGGATTATTAGGTGTATGCATATCATATACATGACATTTTTTTGCACGCCCCCCCCCCCCCCCCCCATGTGTAATGTCTGTTCACACAGCACAGCTTGGAGGAGCAACGTGACTGGCAGCCAGCAGCTGCGGGGCCCCCCCTGGCACCCCAACAAAGCCACTTTGTAGCAGCCCACAGGCCTCCCTGGCCAATTAGTCCCTCCTTCCTCCATTAGTGGAATGTGGCTTATTTACTCTGTTCTGTACCGGCTGGTGAAAACCTCTTCATTTCAAGGCCCAGGTCACCTGACCCAGCCAGCTACGCAGGAGGCTTGAGTAATATAGCAAAGCTACCTTCATGCTCAGCAGATACCTCTACCAGGAATAATACGTTTACAGGAAGACGGTGCAGTGAAGGTACCTGAACTATTTTCTCTGGGACTTGCTTGCTGTTCTCTGAAATCCGAATGGGAGGTATGATCCAGTCCCTCTTCATCCTGGTGCGACCTGCACTCCCCGCTGCGAACCCCCTCCATGGATGCAGGACGTCAGCGTTCTTCTGGCCCATATGGGCAGCACAGCATGCCTGAAAGATGCACACATGATGACATGGTCACACTGGCCCATGCATTCCCACCAGCCCTCCGCACAACTCACTGCGGCCGCATGTCTCCCAGCACACCAACGCAACTGCTTACATCTCTGCACACCACACATGCAAACTCTTGTCGTAATATTACTCGGAAGCCTTTGATGAAACGAGACAACCGGCAAATGATGCAATGCCACGCACATGTCCCTGCGGTAGGGTTCCAAGTCACGACCGCGGCATTCATCTCCATAAGTGGAATGTGGTTTGTTCCGTATCTTAAATCAATCATTCCTCTTCTCCATCTGCAGCCCGAGCACACACACAGCATCAGCTTAAGTCAGACTTCCCTGTCGTACCAATGCTTTCCACTTTTAAGGCCATCAGAATTTGGCCGTAAACCTCCAATGATAATAGAATTATGATGGAGGCTAATTTTAGCCGTGAGTTCTAGAGCGTCTAATGGCTGGAGTGAGCTCGAGGGGGGTGGGGGGGGGGGGGGGGAGCACTTCGCCCATTCATCCTAGAGGATCAGTGACCTTTGGCTCCATCCCTAATGTGGCATCTGCATGCCGGTCTGGGCATTTTGAGCGACGGGGTGGGTGAAAAGCCCAAGGGTTCAAGTTTCACACATGCATTCATACACACTTACTCACATGCAACACCCCCAAGCAGCTGCCTGACCCCAGAACGGGGCCCGAATTACCCCAACCAGACGCCAGTGCGAGGATGCAAACAGGCCCCTTCGAACACCACTGTCCACCTGACCTGGCCCCTGGGATTTGCTGATGCTGCAGAATTCCTGCAGGCTTCATCACCCATATGCCTCCCCGCACCGACCCAGAGATCCTGCTTTCATCGCCGCGATTAAAATACGCGTCGACTTCTCTCACAGCCTCAAATCCCCGTCTGCCTGCTGCCTAGCTCTGCCTGCCAAAAACGACCGGAAATTCAGCTAGAAAAAAGGAACTTCGCGGAGGAGATGATCAGTATAAAAAGATATGCTTCATTGATCATGGGGACAAAACCTGGAGTTGGAATCTACAGAGGCAAACCCAGAACATGTAGCATGTGAAGAACATTGGGCTCATCTGGGATTTGAACCCAGGATCTCTTACACCCAAAGCAAGAATCATACCCCTAGAGTCACTAGGAGAAAAAAAAACTGGTGCAGCGGCAAACTGACACAGACAGAGCTGCACGTCAGGAAAGGCACCTAAGTTATTACTGCATATATCCAAATACACGTGAGAAACAATAAGGAGCATATTTATGGCAAGGTTAGAATTCATGGCGCATTAGAAATGAGGGATAAGGACCAGGCCAGGGCCCCTGCTAGCATGGAGTGTGTGTCAGAATTGGGCGTGTGGGCCACCTGGTGGGGGCTGCAAGGCGGGAATGACACCATCATCGTCCGGCATGCTTGGGGGGGTCACGAGTGGCCGCTGGCACTCGTAGGGGGAGTTAGCGGGCTAATCTTAGACACAAGCAGGCACCCAGGCCCACAGTAATATACCCACGGTCTGATTTATTGTTTTTTTATGATTAAATAAACGATGTAATAAAATATTGCCACACATTCTTGTCAAGTGTCTCGTCAAAGGCGCTATATAAACATAAATTGAACTAACTAAATTTAAAAGAAGCTGAACAAGGGGGAGGATAACTTCAGTCAGGTTGGGGCTGCACCAACAGGGGGGGTCGGGGGGGTTACTAATTAGGGGGAGCCTGACAGTTGGAGCTCCAACCCCACACCTGTCTGTGGCCTCTGTGACACATTAAGCGCTTCATGGGATTTTTCTCAGGCCGTTTCAGACGGCAGCCTGTGGCCTTTCGCAGAAGGTCGTGTTTGGACAGTTGTAAACTCACGGGGGCGGGGGGGGGTACTGACCTCTATGACCGTGACGGAACAAAACGAAAGACGTGGGGCTGGGTTTCAGTGCTCTAACAGCCATTCTCAACCAAAAACACCTTTTTTTTTTGGAAGTTTTATCTGCCCCCACGACCTTGACCAGGGTAACTAGTTAAAATGATGAGTGGATGGACGCAGGCCTGACATGCATAATTCCCAGGCCTGGGACAAAATTCCTTCAACCGGGCCCCCATAATGTGCAACCCTCCCACCTGCACCCCCTCCCCCCAAGACTCCCCAGTTTTCCCCCGAAAATGGTAGACTTAGATGGATGGATGGATGGATGGATAGATGGAACTGTATCTACTGGTCTTCTGAGGCTTCAAGAAAAGGACACACGCAGCCTGCAGATTTTCTAAAGCGTGCTGTGGAGTTCAAGCGGGGGCTAGCAGGCCGGAGCCTCCCCACTATCCCTGCCTCAGCCTGCCCCCAGGCATTCCGTGACGGATTTTACGCTTTGCTCCGCCCATTAACCTCAGCCTCCCTGGGGAGCACAGTGGAGAGAGGACCTACAACGGGGCATTTTACTGAGGGCAGGGAAAGTGCTTATTTACAGGGATGTTAAAAAAAGAGTCACATCACCTTACTGCATCCCACTCAGAGCGCAGTGACTGCGGACGCCCACAGTAGGTTATACCATCCTGGGTCACATGACTCTCTCCTCTGGGTGCCGGTTCTGAATATAACCTCAGTGACCCCCAGCCGTTACCCCTTTCTCACATTCCTCACACTTATGAAATAAAGCCATCTGAGCAAAACCAATCCTGTCTGGAGTCCTCCAAGATACAAACTGGTCAGGGAACAGCAATATGGCTTGGAAATGCTTACCGGGGATAAAAGAAAATGTGTATGTCAAGTCCAGAGATTCATTCCAGTCGATACAAACAATAAGACAGACAATGAAACGTCTTGTAGACACAAATTTAGGGCTGCCGCAATTGGTTGACGTAGGCGTTGACGACATCAGTATTTTAAATAATTTTTGAATCTATGAAATAACTTTTGACTTCTAAAAGGCTTCGACTCATTATAACAAATGTTTTCCTTTAACATCACTAATTATGGGAGTAGATCAAATTATCACGAAACAAAAAGGTGGGTTTACACCGCGCCCAGTTCCGATGGATGCCACGCGGAACTAGCGCTATGCAGAATACACAAGCACCTAAAGGGAAAACGAACATGCGCTATTCTGGACGATGGACCGCCAAAACAGGCAAAACTCCACCATGAGTGTTATCTATTTATGTTCATTAAATTACCAGCTTTGTAATATCTTTTGTCCTTGTAGTTGCTAAACACACTCATAATTAAAACCATGAAGTTGTCTGCTTGCGACCTTAGAATCTCCATTGAATAAGCATTGTAGAAAATGTTTAAGCTAAAATCAGGGCTTTATTCTTCATTAGTGGTACCAGTGTGTGTGTGTTCCTGCGTGTCGGGCTTGTTGGAACTAAAACTGAAAGAAAAACAGAAACTAATGAAAAAAATCAATAACTGAAATGAAAATGAAAACTATATTTACCAAATGAACGGGTTGGACTTTAATCAGCAAAAAATACCGCCACCCAACCAACGTCTTTCTCCTCTTTTAAAAGATATCGTATTTGCTAAGTTGTCCCTTTCTTCACCATGACTTCAGTACCTACTGCTTCCATTGTTTACCAAAACAGTAGCATGCGACATGCTCCGCTAACCGAATTTAATAAGCATAAGGGTACACTAAATTTATACAGATTACTAACTTTTGTGCATCTCATTAATATTGTAGCATCGATGTCACAATATTTTATGCACACTACTAATCTTCTTATCGAATTGTAGGCATAAATAATGTCCGGATAGCGCCGAAAAGCCATTACCTAAAGCCCTGCAATGACATAGTCTGTTATTGTCAAAATAAAATTAACTTAAATTAAACTGTCAATTTGATTTTCTGGAGAAAAATCTGGAGGTTTAGATTAATCGACTAATCGGTAAAATAGTTGTTATTTGCAGCCCGAGACAAATTCAGTATCATTCCACACAAGGCAATTGTGGCCTCAATGGGAGCATTAATTACACACTATTAAATCAAATAGGGAACCACAAGCCTGTGCATGGGGGGGTGGATGATGGATGGAAGGAAAGATGGATCCAGCAATGGAGTAACTGTGGGGGCCCTAGGCTGACATGGGTAGGGGGCTCCCAAGTGGACTGCTTGAGCTATATTTTTTGGAGCCGAAAGATTAAGGAGCGGGAATTAAAAACGATGGAACATCAATAATATGCTCATTTGGGGGGGGGGGGGGGACGGATCATGGTGGGGACCAATCAGGAGGACAAATTCCAACAATATTATCATATTTTATCAAAATACAAATGGTTTGGAATGGACAGTTAATGTATGTGTTTTGTTACTAAAAAATGCTTATATTGGCAGGGGGCCCCTAGAGTGTGGAGTACAGGATTGTCTCCTCCCCTCAAATTACACCCCTGGATGGATGGATGGTTGGATGGTTGGATGGATGGGATATGCTAACGGTTCCTAGCGATGAGTCCCAGGGTGGCATCGCCTCCCCTCCTCTCTTGCCAGCATGAGGCCTTGGTATCTAAATGGGGAAGGAAGGGGGATCATAATTTATCCCACTCTCATCATTCCTTCCACATTCTGCTGTTGCAGGTTTTCCCACCAAAACATCTTGTAAGAATGTAGGACCAGAAGTTTAACTTAAGAGTTTTAGCTACTAGCCGACTGGGCTACTTCAATGAAGTTATCCGGCATGCAATTTTCTTACTAGCCAGCAGGCTAGTGCTCAGTTTGTTTATCTAAATTACTTGCGTCAGCTGAGGGAGCAGGCTTTATTTCCAGCCGTGTGCAGGAATCTGCTAAGACTCAATGGACACCAGAAAATTTGATCTCATAATCACGGAGGTGACACTGTTTCTGAGAACAGCTGTGTGTCTGAGAGAGAAAATACCCCGAATACCCAGCGTATGAGGGTGGGAGCTGCAGCCAGTGGGTCGCCATGTTGTGGTGGTGAATTAGACCAATGTCTCACACCTGGGTACTGATCAGACATCCACTATCCTCTCCTTATTCACCTTCTCAGCCCAAGTCACAGGAGAAGAGTTCTGGCCACAGCTCTAGAACCTGGCAACATGCAACCGCTTCAGTGTACAGTGCAGAAAACAGCAGAACCCCCACCCAGAAGCACTAACTTACCGTCCATGTGCTACGAGACGCCATTCCATCACCTGCACCAATGCAAAGTCAGAATAATGGTCTGAAATATGGGCCCCCAGCTACTAATTTAGATGCAACCTGCGGCCTTTTATTCAATCAGCCTTGGTAATAGACATTTATTTTCTCCTGGATTCAATGGCAGCTTTGAGGGGACAATTGTGGAAAAAATTGTACGTGGCCCAGCCATTGAGCGATGAAAGGCCCAAGGTCAGCGATTACGATGCAGACCCGCGAGATGAAAGCATTCCAACCCGAAACGCCGACTTTAACAGCTCCCTTGGACAGAACAGATGAAAACGGAAATTCTGCCTGCAGAAAGTAACGGGCCAGAAGGGACTTTTAGAGAAAGAGATTAAATATAGGGGCACTTTAAAAATGACGGAAGAAAGAGGACAATATGGAGGGAAAAAAAGCGGCATTAATTGTGGATAGCACAGCTGAGCTGCTTAAAACAGGCCACTCTCAGGACCCCAAAAGCCAAGAGGAGGGGAAAATTCATGTGAATAGGGCATGCACTCTCTAGACTGAGTGATCGTTTCCAACAGGCGATCCTTCACTGTGCACTGAGTGGTCCATACAGCTGCATTTATCCCCGATTTCATGGATTAGGAGCAACAGTCTCCTTGCTCACCCTGTTGGGATTACAGACCGGACAAACAACACATGTACTGAGGCGTCATTGTGGGAACAGCTGCCTGCCATTAGCCTGCACTGGCCATCAAACAGCCCACACTGGAACAGGCTGGACATTCCCGTAAAGCACGTGTTCTTCGGTCTCCTATGACTTTCCTTTGGTACGGGTTGCGAGGTTCTTGCAAAGTCCTGTCACCCTTCCATGATCATGAAAATTCTTCAAAGCGGCACCTCCAATCACTTAAGAGAACACAGCTACAAGCCAATGTTTCACTCCAGTCAAAACCAAGCTGCTACTTTGAAAGCCTTGCCTTTCACCCACAAATGTAAAACTGCCTTGATCCAGCTGATTTAGCTCCCCTATAAGTTCAGATGTGTCTGCTTGACATGTAACCATTCAATGAGTGATGTCTGTGTATGCATATGACATCATGACAATATGACATCATGACATTATGACATCGTGACAATGTGACATCACATTCCCATCCACAATTCACATAACATGTCTGGGGCCTCAGTGATCCTTTAGCGATTCCAGTTCCCAGAGATCCCAGAGAAGAGATACTTAATTCATCAGTAGGTGATTGCTATTTCGTGAGGGTGTCTGCCTCTATCTAGCTCACGATTCCAAAGAAATCACAGGGGTGGAAGATGTTCTGTCGCCACACCTTCCATCATAAGACTAACTGCATGAGTCAGATTGACGAGTGGATGAATCGCTCTGCTGCCATTTTGCTAAGCGGGGCTATTTGTCCTGTATGTTTCTCACAAACGTCGGCGAGCATCATGGTTTCCCCCTGGTTCATTCTATCATCGTGTACCATTCCAGCAGGTCTTTTCATTAAAGGCAAGTGAAGGCCACATATTTCAGCACGGAGTCTGTGCAGCATTAGCGTCATAAACACACAAGAGTAATTGATTACATTTGCAATTACCTTTGAATGTTTCTGTTTTCATAATCAGCACTGATAGAAAGTTTTATAATGGTGTTGATGACATGCTGTCGTGTTTGTCTTCCACCCAATTATAAACAAAATCCAACATAAGTTTTATGTGGAGTTTGACTAATTAATCAAGAATATTCATTACTGCATATTCGTTAATAATTAGTCAGTGTTTAGACTGGCTATTTCCATTGTTTATCCAGCAAGGAATATGCTTAACAGCTGGAAAAGCCCCTTTCATTCTTCTCAGGAACACCAAATGTTGATTTGGCTGGACAGAGCCTGTTTTGGGGGCTATTTGCGGTGTCTGCTGCACCCAGCACACACCAAACAATCACAGGTTCTCCTCTAAACTTTTATTCAGAATGGACTGGATGCGAATCAAAGCCTTTCCCACTTTCTAATAGCAATTTAATTAGCGGCTAGCAGCCTCATTACATTCCCAAGGCCGTCGTCTAAATTTTTTCATAATAGCCTGGATGGATATGCTAACAAGATACAAAAAAATGTAACGTAAAAAAAAATTTGAACCATGGCAAAGGCTTTGCTGGGTGTTTTTAAGTAACTGTTAATATGTCCCCCTTACATTTCTTAGAGAAGGTATATCCCAATTTGGGGAAGGTAAATCCCAATATTGGGAAAGCTCCCCCCCCCCCCCTGCACCAGTAAGCTGGTGTGGCTGGTCCAGTGATACCCTCTTACCTGGATTGCGACAGCCACCAGCATACAGAATCCCAGTGACGCCTGGGGGACCATCTTCCTCTCCCTCGCACTGCCGACACGTCCGAAGCAACGGAGATCACCGGTCTGGTGGTGGAGCGTTGGGGGATTCCTGGCAGGACGGAGGGGCAGAGCAGAGCATGTGAACCGGTCGCTCTTGGCCTCGCTCAGTGCCGCGTTCTCTCTCTCCAACTGGGCTGAGCGACAGGCAGATGAGTGACAGCACATGTGTGCTGGAGCGTGTAGGGTTTGGGCTGAAACCCTAGCCTGACGTCCACACACCGGCTTGGGGCTGGGAGTGGGGTGGAGGGGGGCAAAACCAAGTCCAGGGAGAGACATGGAGCAGCTGTTCCCAGCGTCAGAGGGGCCCACTGGTCCTACTGAACTCCACCCTCCTCCTGAAAACTAGGTCCAGACAGCATCCACTCCAGTAAAGATGCCATTCAGGATGCTGGTCACGCCGAACTGGACTATGGATTAACAAAAAAATAAAGATGACAGCCGTTGTTTTCGTGATTTCTTTAAAGAGATACCTCACTAGACTTGCGTATTTGGATTCATGCCAAACGTACTATAGCATTCAGAAAACTTCTGCTGGAAAATGGGACCTCTCTGGCTTTGGCACTCCCAGAAGGGTCTACTGGTGGCCATCAACAGAGGTCAAAAGTCAACGCAGATTACTCTCCAGCTAGTCATTCAACAGCAACACATAACAGGAGGGAAGCAGGGTTGGGGACATTCCGGAATACATTCATCAATTCCAATCCAAATCAGGGAGATTTAAATTCCAACTCAAGTTCCATTTCCTGATTTGGATTGGAATTGATGATTGCATTCCGGAACGGCCCCAACCTTGGAGGAAAAGCAGTTAGAGTAGGGGCTGTGATCTAGTCACCACACTGGTGATGGTTAGATTATGTCTGTGAAATGCCTAGTCCTCTTGAATAACACTTTGACAGCTACTTTTGAATTTTAATTCAATGTTTCTCCGGCATTGCGACCAGAGGTCCACTGGGATGCCGGCGTCCAGGCCCTATCGCTGGAGCGGGTCGGCACCTGTCCGTGTGACATGGCGGGGCAGGTGGCACGGGTAACCCCCCCCCCCCGCTGCCCCACGCCTAAAAGTGGCACCACACCCTGCTCAATATCGCCAGCCCCTACATTCCTCAGTGATGGGAAAAGTAGGGTGGCGTGTGCAGTGGGGGGGGGCGCATTCCCTCTAAGAAGGGGACGTGACTGCCCACTACTGGTGGCTGCCGGTTTAACTGAATTTCAGATGCTCCCAAGAGTATACATCCCAAATTTAAGACATTTATTAAATATTACTGACACATATGTGCCCTGTAAGTATACACACACATACTCAGGGGCCAGTTTATTAGATACACTCACACATTAATGGAAACAGCCTTCTCCTCCAAACAGAGAATCATGTGGCTGCAACTGAATACATTCAGCGAGCAGGCAGGGTCAAGAGGTTCACTTACAGTTTGGCTGAGCGTTAGAAAGGCTGAGATACGTGATCTAAGCGGTCTCGAATGCGGTGTGATTGTCGCCAGACTGCCGGTTCCAGCATCTCATAAACAGCTGCCCTCCTGGGATTTCCACGGACTACAGCGTCTAGAGTTTACAGAGAATAGAGCAGTGAACAAAACATCCAATCGGGGGCAGGTCTGTTTGCTCAAAAATGCCTTGTTAATGACAGGAGGAGAACGGCAAGACTCGTCCAAGTGAATGGAAAGGGCACAAGTGCAGAAATAATGGCTCGTGGTTGAAGCGGGTAAGAAAACGACTCTGTCTCGTTACCCTCTAAAGTGGCCGCTGAGTGATACGGATCCAAATGTGTTAGACAGCACTTAGCTATTTTAAATTTTATATCACATAAATAAGTTACTTTAAAGGACCTGGACCAGCAGTATAATGTAGATTAATGGGCTGTATTGGACACTGTAAAGAAGCCACGATAAGACTATATTTGCTTATAAAAACAAGCTGACTGACTGCAGAGAGGTCTTTCCCTGGACTGATTGCCACTCCCCTGCCCCTTGCTGCTGTGTTTGCTGCCAGCATGCCTAGCGCCCCCCAGAGGTGCTAATAGGGAGAACAGCCTGGCCACAGATGGGTGCCTATTACATCAGCTCTCTTTCTCATTATGACCATACCGGGGTGATGATGGCCAGGCTGCTGTAACCCGCTTTGCTATTGCGGTGCCAGGAGGCCCAAACGGACTCTCAGCTGCAACTGCAGAGAAAAATGACTCCGAAGCTGCAGAAACTCACTGGTGTATGCATCTCTCTGACTTTATACCCTCAAGGTGCAGGCAAAATCCCCTGGTGGCAACGAAATGTCAGGCAATTTCCAGTGCAGTCCTGTTTATATTTCAACAATAACACACCAGAGCGCTTGCTGAAGAAATAAAACAAAAAATTAATTTAAAAAGGAAAAAAAAACAAATGAGGGTTTTGGACACCAGAAAAGGGAAACTTGAGCAAGTGCCACCAGGGGGCAGTAGAGCACCACCTTCAGATTCCTGTCCCTTTGAGGGGAGGGCATGCCGAGGGACCTGTATTTACTTTATGGCAAACAGATTTATTGGTGCATTTTATTTCAGGGGATGCTGTTTTTGTCTTTTACATCTAAATAGAATAATTTTGGCTTTCCTGAAAATGCCGAGCACTCGCTCCCATAAAAGCATAAACAGAAAGTTTAATGTCGGAGAAATGCACAGTGTGGGCATGTGATAAATGCTTTGGGTGCAGCCAAGCTTAAAACACACCTTGTTCTGGAGAAACATCAGGTCTAAATTGATACGTATAAAAATCTCTACAGGATATTTAAAATGCGTCCTGGGAATGTGTTCCCACCAAGTCCTCTTTACTGCCTCAGTCAGACAGCGAAACCAAACCTGTCAGTAAGAACTGTGGTGCCAGAAGACAAACAAACATTTATCAAAATCTTCATGGTGTCACTTCCATCAAAACCCAGCTTTCCAGCCACGGACCACAGATCCATGTGGAGCAAACTGCTTTTGCAAACGGCACAGGGACTTTGGGGGGCACCGGGGAAATAGTCTTTAATCTGAGCCGAAAAAAAAATGCAGGCGGTGTGGCATCAGTTAATTATGTGCTGTGTCTCTTTAAAAAGCCCTTCACTGGGATCAGTAGAAAAGACTGCCTTGCTTAGACAGGTGCGTATTATTTCTGGTGTATTATTTCTGATCTACGTCGACGTTGGAGCAAATCCGCAAAGATCACGGAGCCCAGGGCACACCAAAGACCCCTGAGCGTGCTCTTCTTCGGAAAGTGTCCCATGGCAGCTTGTGGCGTTGACTCACCGCTTTGACCTTGCACAAAGATAATGGGCGCTTCACACTGAATCGATCCCTACCGAATCTGGGGTGCTGAGAGTGCGTCCGCTCCCCCACCCCCCCCCTCACAGTTGCCATGGAGGGCGATGGCAGTTCGGAGACAGGCTGGCGTTTACGGGAGACGGGCACAAGGAGTTGCTCACAGTCCATGTCTGCAACCCCAACCATCAAAAGGGAGAAAAGAGGCTGTTAAAGCAAAATCGTAATTTGACAAACACACAGGGGTGGGGGTTCTGTTCCTATGTGGGCGGGGTCCGCCTGTCCCCATTTCCTGAGAGTTTCTTCCCCGGCTAATTCCACTTTGGTCCCAAAAGTCCTAAAACATAAATGCTGGTGTTTCTTAAACTGCCCACTGTGTGTGAGAGTGTGTGTCCTCTGCGATGGACTGGCAGTTCGTTCAGGATGTTCTCTGGCCTTGCGCCTTAAGGCTGATTTATGCTTCTGCACAGAATCTCCGCTATCGGTATGGTGTAGTCACACACCCTGACGGCCAGACGCCGCTTCCCGGAGATGTAACTACAGCACAACGTCAGGCTACGGCGCAGGGTACGCAGCTACTGATGGTATAGATTCTATGCAGTGTAAGTATAAATCAGCCTTTAGGCTGCCTGGGAAAGACTCCCGGCCAATACCACCTGACCCTGCATTGGATAACTCGTTAGAAGATGACTGAATGGTGGATGGATGGATGGATACAAAACACACTCACCCACCAGTGCTCACCATCCCATCAGCGCATTTCGGCAAAGACTAATCTCCGTGACATGGCAATGTGGCCTAGGGTTTATTCCAAGATCCCCTTATCAAGGGTGGTTGTGATGATGGAGGAAAATAAGAAAAAAAGCCCTGAATTACTTAAATTACTTTTGGTGCAAAATGTAACTAGAATGATACAATCGGATGAATAGAATTTTTTCATTTTTACAGCTGAATCTTCAAAATCACAGCAATTTGCATTTATGATATGATAATTTAATTCACATCAAAAAAAGACACGGACTAGGACGCTGTGGGGGTCACGCCTTCACCTCCTCCTCTTCCTCCCTTTCCCTCATGACAAGGAGGAAGCAGCGGCGAGCATTTAGAGATGACAGTTGCCGGCACGGTGAGGCTAATCGGCACCATCGGCTGTCAGATCACGGCACGTCAGGACCACGCCACTCACTCCACCGGCAATGTCAGCTTGTCAGCCCACATATGCTGGGCTATGACAAAGGGGGGGGTGGGGGCAACCAGCCCCCGACCTCTCTGCAGGCCTGCCTGACCTGACCCTAGGGATTTTTTTTTTGGGGGGGGGGGCGGGTTGAGAGAGAATACATTTTTTTTCTGCCCCAATAAATACCCCAAGAGCAGGGTGAAAGAAAATTTTAAAACATGCCTGTATGGCAGTTCTGGTCTGGTCATTTTTATTAAACTTGCAGTCCCAAGAACATTAATTTTATCCCATAGGATAAAAAGGAAAAATGTTGATTAGATTAGTTTATTCATAGCGCGGCCTGAGGCAGTACTGATGACCTCCTGTCATTCCCACACTGGGAGGGCATCAAGCTGTTCGTCAATCAGGACAGCAATCACACCCATGGCAGCGTGGCTTGAGATCGCCCCCTGCTGGGCTGGATGCACACTGCGCACGCCAAAGGTGGCTGCCTCTGCATCACCAATAAATCTGCAGGGACATTTTTTATTTTTACACAGTTTTTGCCCGAGTAAAGGGAACAGGAAGATCATTAAACACATGCAGGGCTGGATTAAGGCAGACAGTGTGGGCTAGTTGTAGTCTGACCGACAGCTTAATGCAGTATTGGTCTGAGGTAGAGTATGAGCAAATTCCAAAATTACAGACAGAGGTAA